GGATCTTGTATATATATGTATTCTAGACACTATATGTATACATTTGTTACTTTCTGTCTGGTGTTCAGGTGTGCTGTGCAGTGTGTAGTGACCAGTCAGGTCGTTACACGTTTTGTTAATTCAAAATGACAAACTTAATAATTTATGTTTTACTCAGTAATTTATGATATACATTAAATTTTAATGATGTAATTGTTAATTTAAAAAATTTTAATGCATAAATTAAATTCACAAATTTTTAAATTTTTTTATAATTATTTGATATTTCATTTTATTAATTTAAATTAACAAATAATTATAAAAATATTTAATATATTATAATTTTTATTATGTGTCAAATACTATATATTTATTATTATTAATAAATTATTTTTTATATATTCTCTAAAATACTCATATTTAGGAGTGTCTTCTCTCATGTTTGAGATATTATAATGATATTAATTATAATGAGATTATATATGATATAATGTATATTTCTAGGAATATATATTATATGATATATAATCTCATTATATTGCTATATATAAATCATTAAACTAGTTCTGTGCACAAATACTATTACAATCGTCTCTGAGAATTTATTTATCTGAATACTAATACCATAATAATACCATAATAATGACAAATGGTTTCAATGATTGTTTCAAACCACTTTCACAGTTTCACACACCAGTTAACCTAATAAAGTGAGCGTGTAAGAGTTGCTTAATAAATAGTTTATTTTTCAGTAGAATATTTCTAACCCTGTTTACCAATTCCTTGAACCCCACAAAATAAAAAATAAAAGAAAAAATAAACTATACACACCTTGTATTAAAACGGCTCAACACATGAATATAATAAATTTAATTAAGTGCGTATATTTGGCTAGAAGAGTCCTTATAAATGGTTATTATCAATATCCTACAAATTTATCCCAATCTTAAAACATTTGAAGTTAAAAAAGAAATGAATAAAACAAGTTAATCGCAGTGGTCACGTGCAAAGTAGTGATTAGTAGCGCAACATAGAAATCACTACCATAAACCAAGTGTTTAAGTAGGTTGTCAAGATGATTAAAGTTATAATTATTAGATTACCATTTGATTACTTTCATTTGGTAAATTTGTAATAGATTACTGTAGGCTATGAACACATAACCACGATAATGTTCTCAAATAAACCATTTTGGGTCGAGGTAATCAATTACTTATGATGCTTAATTGATTGCTAATTTGGCAGAAGCTAGGTAACTATTCATGTCTTGGTTAGGTTATAAAAAAATATAGATAATAAATTAGTAGAAAGTTTAGGACGTAGTTGAAAGTTAAAAATTAATTTTTATTTCAAAGTTATAATAAACTGAAAATTGTTAAGTTTGCCAACTTATTGGCTTAAAGAATATTTGATCAAACTAATTACTAAACTAATTGATAAATATAAAATGGACATACTTTGTTATGAATTTTATATAATTTTTTATTTGCAGATAAAAGTACATTTAAGTAATTATCATTTTGAATTTTTTAATTAATTTTTGAACTCTTATACTTTTTCTTAATATAAAATATTTCATCACGAAATTAAAATAAATAATATAAATAGCGTAATTATTATAATAAATAAAATAATTATTAGAAAGGGGAATTTTATTTAAATAAAATAGTGTCATATTAAAAGAAAATTTTCAGTAAAATCAATAGTGTAATATGAAACGTGTCAACAAAAAATGGATAAAAAAAAAGGAGTCAACAAAAAAAGTGAGAAATTAATTGTGTGTTTTTCAGATAACTTATAACATATATTTGATTTAAAAAAACACAATTAATAATACATTATTAGCTCTTGAGTTTTTCAAAAGTTAATACCTTAAAGGATGGTAATCATCGATTAGCACCAAATAATACAATTACTATGTCTCTTATTTTGAAATTTGACTATAACCCTAAAATTTCAAGAGAACAACTACCAACCGAAAAAGTGAGATGTAAAATGTAAAAACCTTTCTTTATGCCTAGTAATCTTGTTTTTTTAGGAAGTTGTATTTCCTAGTAAATATGTTCGTAGAAAATGCAAATATATTTGGTATACATGTTTAAAATATTTTTCAAAATAAATGTTGTATAAAGAAATAAAACACTGAGAAATATTTTACTTATAGGCAGTGAATAAACTGATTTAATATTACATCATGATCTAAAATCTTAACGTATTAGATAAATGAATTTTTTCATTTATATGTTACTCAAAATATCTAATTTAAATCAATATGAGACTCACTTTATACCTTAATATTAACAATAAGAGATATAATTATATATAAAAAATTTCTCATATAAAAGTTTTCAATTTTTATCCCTTTCTTAGAAAAATTTGGTAGGAAACTTAATGAAAAAATGACTTATAAAAAAAAATAGATTCTTGTAATAGTTTTTTAAAATTCTCATACTAAAAATAGAAAACCTACGATAATTCCCTACTGATAATGTGTTTGGTAATTTATTATGAATGTGATATTTCATGTGAACTTAAAGTTACTTGTTATAATTTTTACATCACAAGAGTAAATTTATTATTAGATTCCATTAAACAACCCTTTAAAGAAAACAATTTTTTAGTAGCTTTTATATAAAGAATCAAAGTCATAAAATGAATTGCCTTGAAACGTAGGTTTGACTTTGATAAACATTTTGTTATGACCAATACATTCATGAAAATCAAAGAGAAGATAATTTGTGTCACCGCTCGTGGTGGCCGATTTACAAATTCCTTATATTTTCTTTTATTTAGAAATCGACCGTGCGGGCTAATCAATTATTATAGTCCACATTAATATGTTACCAAACCTTTTATTAAGCTAGTAATTGATTAACATGCATGACTAATCCATTACTCATAATAGCATATATATCAAGTCATTGATTACCAGATCCTTTAATCGATTGCCAACCTCTTTGCAGCAATCTTGAATTTGAAACATTGTTTTTCAGCCAATAATCAATTATATCAAGCTAGAAAACGGGTTCATATTGGGAAGAAAAAGGTAATTAACATTTCCACAATTTAAGCAAATATTCCTAACACAGGAACTTGAAAAATATTAGACGAATAGAATCCTATTTAAACTTTTACATGTCATTCATATAAGAATATAAAATGTATCTAAACTTTTACATGTCATTAAACTTTTAATTATTTTACTTTTATATGAATTCTAATATTATTTATCACTTCCTAATATATTATTCTCTTTTTGATCTCTATAATTTTATCAACTTTACATTTTAATCTCTATAATTAAAAATGTTAAATTTTAATCTCTCTCTTTGTCTATATACATATACATACTACCGCTTTTTTTTAGTCTCTTTAATTTTATAAACTTTATCTATTAGTTTCTGTAGAAATAAATGACAAAGATTAAAAAGAAACAAAAATGATATATGAAGGAACTTTTTTAACTTTAAAAACTAAAAGAGTTATTAAATCATTCCTCAAAAAAAAAATTGTAATGTTAATATTTTATATTCAATAATGGTGGGTGGGTGTGTGCCTAAATTATTTTACATCCAATAATTAAAATATTTTATATTCAATAATATTTTATATTGAATTTTAATATACTAACCTTTCGTATACGGTAAACTAATAAATACGAAGTTTTTTTTTGTGTGTTCTTGTACTTATTTTATATCCTAATCTAAAGTTTTTCTTCTTCTTCTGTGTTTTTGTACTTGCATTAACAATTTAATATCTGAATCAAAAGTGGAATCTCAATATTTAATTAAGGAGTTGAATAATCCAGTCCGAGTTTGAAGTTGCATGAAATTTCGGTAAGTAGCAAAGACACGAGTTCTACTATGCCAGCAACGCAACAGATCACTTTGAAGCTACTTAACTGGCGTTGTACTTGTTCTTGGAACCTATCAACAAAACTTGATGCATGTGCTCATAATCCAATATTATTATTATATTCTCTACGCAAAATAATGGTACCTTCTTCTCCGTCTAGCTACACGTACTTATGTTTATCAAACAAAATGAAAAAAGAGAGTATAAAGTTGGATATTTATTAAGTTGTTCAATAAAAAGACAGAAGAAAGTTTTGAATGTGTAAAAATAAAATGAAAGAAAAAATTGTGCATAAAATGACAAATACTCTGAAAAGAAAAGAAGAAGCAGAAGAAGAAACCGATAAAATAAAGTATTAATTAAGTCTTTTTTATAATAAGAAGCTTAATTCCTCTCTTCTTGGTTCTTTCACTTTTCAACTTAGTATTCCTAAATCTATTTGAGTGAGTCTATCATAAATATTAAATGCTTTCGCGGATCATGCATTCATTGTCAATTTAAAATTATGTGCATAACATCTCAATTTCTCGATCTATGTGATTTCACTTTTGTTGCAATTCAGGTATGTGTTGTAACTTTGTGGGAGTAATGAACGTCATATCTTCTTATATGTCCTATTAAACATATTTAATCAAAAATAGAAACATGAAGATTAATATAAAGATATTGTAAAATATTGCTATTCCAAAAACGCGTAGTATTTTTGGAGGGAAGTGGTTTAAGGAAGTGAGAAACGCAGATAGCAAAGACATAGAAGAGTTAGGAAATAGTAGGGAGTAAGATAGAAACCGAGTCATGGGATTTCCAGAAGAAGGATAAGTCAGTGTCCTTGTCTCGTGTCCGCCAAAAAGAATCTTATTAACCCGCACGCTTTGGTGATTAAACAATTTTTAAGACCATAGATTACACCATAACCTAAACAAATGTCACACCTTACCTTAAATAAATCAAATCCTTGACCCTCTCAACAGATCCTTAGCTTTCTCCTCTCTCCACGTGGCACTCGCACCCCCTCCTGAGGCCCGTGCCGGTGCCGATCAGTCATTTCCAAATAAAATATTAAATGTCACATTATTTTACTACATTGACAATAATTATTAATGCCAAAGTCCACAATAATTTCCCCATGCTCCTCCCATTAATATCAACTTGCCTTTAAATTGACCTGCCTAGCAAGCATAAGTTAGTTGGGAAGGCCATTTTGGAGAGAAATACTGTTGCTGTGGGGTGCAAGGTAAGAGCTCTGCACAAAATTAGAAAAAGACCCTTTTCATTAGTGCACATCCTTCTTACCCCTCTTCATTCATTCTTCATCATAGTTGCCATTGTTCCTCATATTTTATATTTTTTGTTGAGAGTGTGAGAGAGAGATGGGGAATTGCCAGGCTGTGGATGCTGCAGCTCTTGTGATCCAACACCCATCTGGGAAGATAGAGAGGTTGTACTGGTCAGTGAGTGCAAGTGAGGTTATGAGGGCTAATCCAGGCCATTATGTATCTTTGATCATACCATTGGCTGTGCCTCAAGGCCAGAATCAGGAGCAGAAGACAGTGCTTTTCACACGTGTCAAACTGCTCAGGCCTAATGAGACTCTCACTCTTGGCCATGCTTACAGGCTGGTCACTACTCAAGGTGGTATAGTGTGCTTTTGGATACAAAGTTTAGAAAAAAATTTAATAATAATTTTTTATCAGAAAAAAAATATATTTATTTTTGGTTGAGAAACTCTTAAAAACTCATCTAAATTTGTATCCAAATTGATAATGTTTATATGAAGTACGTGTTTGTTTGCTTAGTTTCATGTTCTAAATAGCTTTTCTGTTTCTGGGTTTAGATGTTGTGAAGGCAGTGAAAGCCAAGAAACATGCAAAGATGAGGAAGCCTCAGGTGAAGACAGTGGAGAGTATGCAAATAGAGCGCCTGGAAAAGGAAAGTTCAGATAGTGAGACTGGAGGGATGTTTGATACAGGAAATATATATCAGGTGTGCATCTGTTCTATTACTCATCAGCAAGTCTTTTTTCATTTTTGCTGTTTTGTTCCAATACTATTCATTAACGACATTATATTAGTAAGTTTTTCAATCCATCCAAAGTGATTCCATTGAAGACTTACCCTGTGTCTGGTTGGGCGTTGGATAGCTAACATGTGTCAACCTGAAACTTACATTACTTGCTTTGGCGTTAAATCGAGGATTTTTATGTGAAAGTATAATTAAATGTGGATCGTGGATATAGAACCAAACACACAATTAGATCTACTGATTCACTCTGCACTAAGTGCAATATCATGTTAAGTTGCCACTGGTATGACACAACATTGGAAGGATATCAGAATTATATGCGGTTCTTCAGAAACAAAGCAAACTAAGTGAGAGAGAAAGAGAGAAACCATAGGCAAGATGTTATAGTTTTATACAACTTATGTTTTCATTGTGTTTGTCTTTATTGTGTCAATGAGTACTGATGCTGTTCCTGCATCATGTGTTTCAGGCAACGAGGGCAGACAGATACAGGCTAATGAATTCCACACATGCTGCACTGAAGCTGAAATCGTGGCGTCCCTCTTTGCAGAGCATCTCAGAGTCTAGCAGTTGAGTAGTGCTGGGTTGTGACATGTAAGGTGTCTCAGAACATTGCTTGATTGCCTCTTTCATGTGTGATGCTCCTCCTAGTTGAATACCTGATATATTGGGAAAAGATGTTTGGCAAAGGAGCTGTTTGGATAAGCTTCTCAAGAAACATTTCTAGAAGAGAAAAATAAGAAGAAAAATCAAAATAAGTTTTTTCATAAACTAAAATTAGCTTAAACACGAGTTAAAAATAAGATTTTGGAGTAGTTAAGAAAGAGTTTCTACAAAATAACTTATGTTTGAGCTAATTTTAACTTATGAAGAAATTTATTTCATTTTCCTCTCTTAATTTGTTTTTTTAAAAGTGTTTCTGAAGAAGTTTATTCAAACAGATCCAAAGGTTTGAATTACAAAATCCTCTTTCATCACCAATCACGCCCTCAACTAAATAACCATCTTCCAGGGGCAACAAGATTGTATAGCACCGAGAACAAGAAAATAAATAAATACTGAATGTCAAAATCTACGAGTTATTTTTTCTCTTTTGTTAAAGCATCTAGATGTTACAAGCAAAAAAGAAAATTTTACATTGTAAAAGAAAAAGATGTAAAGCTGAAGTCATTTTAGTTTTGAGTTCCAAACTTCCCAATCCTTATCAACATAATTTTGTGCCCATAAGAGTGACGCTCTTGCAGCCAGAGCTGCTCCCGGTAATTTCTTCTTTTTTAGAGCAACCATCATATCCGTGAATGGCTCCACCAACAATGTTCCAGGACCTCCATAATCCTTGTGCAAAAACTCACTAAATATCTGTTTTCCAACAAAGGCAGTTTATTATTATAACTCATTGTTCAAAGTGGAATTAAGACATAAAAGCAACCTTTTTCTCATTGATAAGTTAGGTAAGTTGAAGCTTGTGCTCTATTAACTAAGTCAGACGCTAATATCCAATGCTAAACACTGACATATCACCTCATATCTGTTAAGCTTTTATCATCTTACTACAGTTGGTCACACACACCTTGTTTTCTTCACACCTACTTAATTATTTTGTAAAACCCAATGTTTGCTAAGAGACACCAAATCGGATGTTAATCCAAATGCTATACTATTATCTAAAAGTTGATCTTCTACCTTTGGATTCCTGACCCTTATATCATGATTGAGATAACAGATAGCAGGGAATTGGCCAGAAATCTCCAGCAACTTCTATCACTTAATGTAGGATTCATAACTACAAGTAGCCAATAAGAATTAGCATAGGCCTGGTACATCAACAATTGACCCGAATGCCGTTAGTATGAACTTGCAACTGTAGTCTTACAAAACTTATAGTGTTAGTGCTGTTACCTTTATAGTATTGTTTTTATTTACAAGGTATTTACTGTATTTTGTGATAGGACAAAGCTTAGAATCAATTTCTTATACACTTTCCATTAAGTCCTCCAATCAAATGATGACATGTGATAGTTTTTTATTTGTTTTTTTAAAATTCCGCAACACACATTTAATGAAGGTTATTTAGTATTAGAAAGATAATCGATGTGTCATTATATAATTGGAGAACTAGATGGCAAAGATATAAGGAACTTGATCAAATTTTTGTGCTTTGCATCCCATCAGAGTTCAGACACTGGATAAATAAAGAAACAAATCCATATAATTTAATTCACTAATTTCCAGATCTTATCCTTTCAAATGATCAACAATGTCTAGTACTTCAACTGTGCCAACAATCCAAAGAACTATATCAAACCACATATTTTCGCGGGAAAACTCAGTCTATATACAATATCAATTACTCTCAACCTCGTGTTTTAGCAAACACATTACAATAGCACTGCAGTAATTTATCATTTTAATCAAAAGTTGTTTTCGTACTAATATGCAATCGAGAAAAAAAATTCATAAACACTTCCTGCAAATATATCCTCTATTCAAATGCTTAATGAGATGCAGAATTATTTTCTTTTCCAAGAACACCAGCATAAAAACTATAGAGAAAGGTGAGGTAGAACAGAGAGAAAGCATACACATGTCAACTCTAATTGCCAACTAATTTCCAACATAAAAATCCTTATGAACAAAGAGAGTCTAATATCATCTAAAAATAAATATAGGAATAATTTTTTTTATCCATATAGATATAGGAATATTGGTTGTATTGATAAAACTAACTTTTAAGTTACAAATTAGGAGTTGAAAAACTAGAAACTTATAAGTTAACTTTCTTTTTTTATGCATCCAAATTAAACTCGATACCAAAGGATTTACAATAATTTATACACTTTGTTCAACCAATTGAACTAGATTTCATTGATAAAATTTATAAATTAATTGAATGAATTGAAAACATTTAGGAAGATTAGCTATTAGATTAGTTGATAAATGTAAAAAGACATATTTAGTTACTTGAGATAAAGAAGGATTTCAAATAAATTAACAAAGATAAAAATGAAAAAACAAAAAACTTAGGAACTTATAAGTTAGCTAGTTTTCATAAGTTACTCGAAATAACTTATGAAAATAAGTTAAAAATTACTAAAATAAACTCGCGTACTAAATAAGTCAAATTAATTTATCAACTCCTTCAATTCCTTGCAAAACACAGTCACACTCACAGCCATTGCTCACTTATCACATTGCTATTGATTAACAAAAAGAAAGGCAGAGTGATGAGTGATCAATATGCAATTACAATCTAATTTAGAAACAGGAAAACAACTTTAACAACATATAAAAAAAAAACTAAAAGAAATTAAAAAAAAAAAACAAAACAAAACAAAAGAAGAGAGAGAAACTGATTGATGTGTATGTCTACACCCACGGGCGTGCATATCCACTATGAGCAACTGATGTATAAGTGAATGAGTACAAAACTTTTGATTTAAAAAATTGGTGAGCAACGAGGACATCACAAAATACTAAAACAAATACTGCTTTTCAAATTGACATCACAACTACAATGAAGTCTCTGAAGGTGAAAGACTAGATAAATTCCAGCAGGACTTGACTTTTAAAGCTGTAAGCCAGGTAATTTATAACTTTCACCATCAAATCATACCAAAATCTAAAGAGTCAATCATTGACTGCATAAGTTAATCATATAACTAATAGCTAGAATGGACAAAAAGAAAATTACAAAGTTGAAGAAATGTCCCACTCCTACGTAATTTTAAATCCCAGTAGTTATATTCAGGCATGTATAAATAAATTTTTCAAATACACTTTAAAAGAAAAAATAAATAAAATATTTTTTTGATAAATTAAAACTAACTTATACATAAATTTAAAAAATTAATTAAGTTAATAAAAGAAAATCTTTACATATTAACTTATCAAAATACTTATTCATTTTATTTTTCTAATTTTTTAGTAGGAGTATTTTTTGAAGAAATTTATCAGGCGTAGGCCAAATGATAACTTGCTCAATCGTTTTCCCAAACACCTGGCACTCAAGTACATTCAATAAATCTCAATCCTCTGAACACCAGCAATTGATTTCAAGCATTGAAGTGAGTTTCCTCTCTCTATCTCTCTCTCAAAAGAATACGTTGGAAGAAAACAAGAGCGAAACGACACCCACAAAGGTTTTGGCATAAAGTTTTAGTTTTTGAAAAGGAAAACGACATTGACCTGAGCGCAAACGGCTACAACCTGATCAAGGTCGTCCCCGAACTCGTCCACATTCTCGGAAAGCTTCCGAAAGAGTTGAGTTTGGAACTTGCGAGTTTCCTGCAATATAGGTGACGTGATGGAATGAATAATATGCATGAGCATGACCACAGTAGGTTTGAGAAACTTACGGATTTTGCGAATTCGGGAATTGGGTTAGGGTAGACGTGGTTGTGTGAGAGAGCGCAAGTGAAGGAGATTCTGCAAATGGGTTTCAGGGAGAGCCACGACGGTGACGGTGACGGTGACGGTGGGAAAG